CCTTCCTTCCTTCCTTCCTTCCTTCCTTCCTTCCTTCCTTCCTTCCTAATACAAGGTCTCACTAAATTGCTTAGGGTCTTGCTAAATTGAACCTGCAATTGAACCTGCCTTGAACCTGCAATTCTCCCTACCTCAGCACCCCGCCAAGATTACAGGCATAAGTCACTGTGCCCAGCCCAGCTGCCCTTTTCAGAGTCCACCTTGCTCTCACTGCCATGGTCATCCTCTTTTGTCACATTATCTGAGAAACCTTCTGTGGCTCCCACATGCTCCCACCCCTCCTCTGTGATCCCAGACACTTGTATTTATTTTCCTATTGGGTTAGTGGTGACCTTCACTGGGTTTCAGCAGCACTGCATGCAAAAGATCATTTTCTCATACTGAGGCACCCCGTACAACATGTTCCCATGAATGCTGTCTCATGGCAGTTCTTGGCATGGGATAGATACATCATTATTTATTGACTTTCTGAGTGCATAAATGAATGCTCAGCTTCCAGGCCCCCCCAGGACTCTAGAAATACTATGTTTGTAAATTCATGATATTCTATCCATCAAGTTCATTTACATGAATTGTTTACCCCACAGGTCCAATATTCATGTAAGATAGTAATGTATTTATCTTATTAAATGCTGCTTATTTTGCTCAAATTGTTTGCATATGTTGGGGAGGGAGCAGAATCAGGAAGCATTAGGAGGGAATCTCTGAAATAGAAATGGGAAAGATTCCCAGGATTCTCAGGTTAGACAGGACAACAGGAAAGACTTTCCCAGGCAAGGGAGAGGGCTAAATGGGCAGAGAGGACAGCAAAGGAGGAGAGTTGAGGATGATGGGACCCAGCATCTCTGCATTGGGTCCAGAGGTGTTATGCAGAGGGGCCAGTCTAGAGTCTCCCCTAGAGTCTAGCATTAAAGGGGAAAGTCTCTGTTCTCTTCCTTCTACCTTAATCTGAAGTTCCCCTTGTCCCATTCCCCTAAACACTAACACCACCTAGAATGATGCAAATGCTGTCTCCTTCCTGGTGGTGAGAGTATCTCCCCTAGGAGCCATGATGTAAATGGGACCAGAGGAAAGGAAAGACATACTTAAGGAGTGACTATAAAAGGGTGGAGCACTGCTAGACCACCTTTATTCAAAGGGTCCCTTGTATGGCAGAAACTTGAAAAGGGTTTGTCCTTAACTATTGTGTTGTACAGTGCTATCACACTAGTGCTCCCCAACCCAAGGCTCCATGAAGAGCAGTGGGCAGCTTCCAGTCCTTTTCTATGAAAGGCCACCTCCATGTCCAAAACATCTGACCCTGTTCCCTCCATTGCTGCCCCAGCTACCCAGGGAGGAAGCTGGGGCCCCCTACCCAGGAAATTACTTCTAAACCTGTCAAAGTCTTGGTGGGGCTGTGCTGGGGCTCAAGGAGGCCACAGCCTCAGAGGTGCGGTTAACAAAAGCCAGGTTCCTTAATACCAGCTCTACCTTGAAAACAATTTTCCATGGCAAACTTCTCATTTTCAGCAATTCTGCACCTGTGTCAAGCAGCAGAGCTGCGGTAGGGGGCTCTGCCTGTCCCTGTCTAACAGGAAGTGTCAGTGAGCTCAAACTGGAGTTTGGGGGAAGAGGAAAACCAATGCTGGTCTTCATGCCCTTCCTGACCACCCTCCTCCTCAGGCACATTCAGAGACCTGGTTTGAAGACCCTCAGATGATCCAACGCTGGTGCAAGGTGGGGATTCTCAGGCTCTGGTACCTGCTGCCTCTACTGTGTACAGAAGACCTGAGGAGGTAGGGGTTGCTTTCTTTGAGGGCACCTGTGTTTCTGCATGTGCATCTCCATTTCCTGTGGTCACCCTACTTCAACTCCACCGAGTTCACAATGAAAAGGTCAGAGCCCCCTACCGCAGGGACCCACAGTTGTCTGGTCAGCAGGAAAGGGGAAATTGGAACACCTCTGCCCACCTGGAACAGACCACCATGTCGGACCTGGAACAGACCACCATGTCGGTAGGGGCCTCCGGCTTTGCCTATATGAAATGGTTTTGACCATGGGACAGTTCTTCCAGAAAATTAAAGGGGCAGGGAGAGAGGATCTCAAATTCAGGGCAAATAACTCTGCATTTTCAGGCCCATCCTGGACGCCTCGTTAGCCAAATGGAGATCTGCACTAGACATCCATCCCTTTTCACTCTCGTGAAGACCTGTCCCATGGTTAAACCCATTTCATAGAGCAGGAACCTGAGGCTCCTACAGGCTTGGTGGTGAATTACAGGTTTGTCCAGGACGGAGCATCGCGGTCCTAATTTCATCTTTTCCCATTCAGCTGCAGGTCCTAGAGAGTAATGAAAGGGTTGGGGAGCACACAACCTGAGATCACGATGGTGGCAGAGGGAAAACCAAAGGAGGATTTGGGGATTGGGCTAGAGATCCGAGGGTTGGGGGTGGAGCTGGAAACCTAGAGAGGGCAAACGAGGTGGGAAAACGGGGCGGGGCCCAGAAAGGGCTACGGGGCGGAACGTGGGGCACGCAGGACCGGTGGGTTGAGAGGGGCACCAGCCGAGAGGTGGTGGAACTGGCGGAGGCAGTGGGACCAGCCCGGCTCCCGCCATCCTGGGGCGCGGTGCGGGGATGGGCGGGCGCTCAGCGCTGTGCTTCTCGCCTGCTGGTTAGGCGGAGCAGGCTGAGAGCCGCGCGTCTGCGCGCGAGACCCCCGGGTCCCGCCGCCCGCGGTTTCTCGCGCTGCGCTCGCTCCACCACGCTCCGCCGCTGGGGTGGGCATCCCCAGACATGAGCGCCCCCGCGACGCTGCCCCCCGGGGGCGAAGAAGGGCTCGAGACCACCTGGCCCCCGGCGGCTAACGCTAGTCGCGTCCCGGCAGAGGAGGAGGAGGATACTCGGTCCGACGGCACCGGGACGGCTGGCATGGTCACCATCCAGAGCATCTACGCGCTAGTGTGCTTGGTGGGTCTGGTGGGCAACGCCTTGGTTATCTTCGTGATCCTTCGCTACGCCAAAATGAAGACGGCCACCAACATCTACCTGCTCAACCTTGCCATCGCCGATGAGCTCTTCATGCTGAGCGTGCCTTTTGTGGCCTCATCAGCCGCCCTGCGCCACTGGCCCTTCGGGTCGGTGTTGTGCCGCGCGGTGCTCAGTGTGGACGGCCTCAACATGTTTACTAGTGTTTTCTGTCTGACCGTGCTCAGTGTGGACCGTTACGTCGCGGTGGTGCACCCTTTGCGAGCCGCCACCTATCGGCGTCCCAGCGTGGCCAAGCTGATTAACTTGGGCGTGTGGTTAGCGTCCTTGCTGGTCACCCTGCCCATCGCGGTCTTCGCAGACACCAGGCCGGCTCGGGGCGGCCAGGCAGTGGCTTGCAACCTGCACTGGCCTCACCCGGCCTGGTCGGCAGTCTTCGTGGTCTACACCTTTTTGCTGGGCTTCCTGCTACCGGTTCTGGCCATTGGCCTGTGCTATCTGCTCATTGTGGGCAAAATGAGAGCTGTGGCACTGAGGGCTGGCTGGCAGCAGCGGAGGCGCTCGGAAAAGAAGATCACTAGACTAGTGCTGATGGTAGTGGCAGTCTTTGTGCTCTGCTGGATGCCTTTCTATGTGGTACAGCTCCTGAACCTGTTTGTCACCAGCCTTGATTCCACTGTCAACCATGTGTCCCTCATCCTCAGCTATGCCAACAGCTGTGCCAACCCCATTCTCTATGGCTTCCTCTCTGACAACTTCCGTCGCTCCTTCCAGAGGGTTCTCTGCCTGCGCTGCTGCCTCCTGGATGCTGCTGGGGGCGCTGAGGAAGAGCCCCTGGACTACTATGCCACTGCTCTCAAGAGCAGAGGTGCGGCAGGATGCATATGCCCCCCACTCCCCTGCCAGCAGGAGCCTGTTCAAGCAGAACCCAGCCGCAAGCATGCCGCCCTCACTGGGACCACCACTTTCTGAAGACCCTTTTCACCTTCCACCCAGCCTGGCCACCTCTTTCAGGGGCTGCACCACCTGTACAGCCCAGCAACTGCACTTCCTGGATGCTCACCTAAAGAACAACCACCTGTTCCCACTTAAACCCTCTCCTCCCAGCAGTGTGTGACATCCACAAGAGCACTGAACTCCTCTACTGTTCCCCTCTCCCCAGGACTCTTGCTTTCAGGAGAACGCCGTAATGGGGGTAGGACTTCTCTGGGAACTGGGCTAGGGTGTTGACCATTTTGGAGCCTCTGTCTATTTTTGGAGGGGTGGGAAGCAGGAGGTGGCTATAGGGGAATAGCCACCTGTGTGTGACTTATTGCAGTGACTGCTTGGAAGAGGACTCAGAAAAGTAGAGGCAGGCAGTAGCCCTTGCTTTTAGCAGGCTTTTTGCCTTGTGATGGGAATCTAGCATGTGCAGAGAGAGAAGCAAGGAAGAACACTTCCAAGCATATTCCCTTTGCCTGTTCCTGGGCTCCCGTTGCTAAGTGAGATTTCTGTGCAACAGCCTGAGGCACTTGTTCTGTGCACCACCTCCCCACCATCCCCTGACCTGACACCTGCTTGTAATCATAAGTGTCCAGATTGGTATCCAGGGCTAGTAGCAGGTTTCCTGTGAGTGAAAAAGGTTTGTAAAGACATGCTGCAGGGTTTGCTACAAGGCATAAAGCCAGGTCAGTAATAAAAAAGCAGAGGATAAAATCACATCTAGCTCCTATGATGTGTTTTTCCCCCCCTGATCCTTGGGTGTGGGAATGTGAGACCTCATTATATCCCCAATTTATACCATGGTGGAAAATGGGAGGGGACAGGAAAAGAACAGAGTGAAGGGAAGTCAGCCCACATTTTGAAAGAGGAGCAGCTCTGTCACTCACTATTTGAAAATATCGACATTCAGTAAAACATCAGCAGGATGTAGCTATTAAATGCAGACTGAACACAGTAAAAGGCTGTGACTTTGTGTCTGGTAGGTTAACCAAAGCGTGGGTTATTTTTTGCTAAAATGAAAAGGCTGCTTGTAAGCAGCTTTCCCTCTGATAAAAGCAGAGCAAGGGGCTGAGAAAATACTTGTAACACTTAGGTTGGTATCTGGAGTGAGAATATGTGATTACACAGGGTCTGAAGTGCTTTTTGGGAGACCCCCCACCTGGCTTAACCTAGCAAAAGATACTTTTAGGTTTGTTTGGGACTGTCCTGATGAGCCAGAAAGATATGTCAGGTGGGAGGGGGAAGAACAGTCCAAGGGTGAGCCCCTTTGTATTTCACAGTATCCTTGCAGCAAGTGCCCACAGCTTCCTGGCAGAGGTCTTTAAGAGAAAACACCCTTGTCCTCTCAGCCTCACAGCCTTAAAGTCATGACTGTGTGTCTTCTAGGGCAGCTAGTACATGTTCCAGAAATGGGTATAGGGGAGCTGCTTGGAGACTAATGAGGGTCCACGCAGGGCCAGGAGGCAGGGCAAGAAGCCCAGATCCGGGTGCCTACTGCCACCTGGATCTTGGCTTCTCTTTAAGAGCCTGTAAAAGCAGGTGATGGCACTCTCCTGAGGATTCTGCACAGGAGCCAGAGTTTTATGTGATATGAGCAGCTGGCTGGTATGCAGAATCACGTAAGAGAGCCGAGTTCTGGTCTCAAGCAAAAATGTCATAAAACTCAGGCAGGGAACTCAACCCCTGATCCTCAGAGTTCCCACCTGGAAAATCAGCAGGTCTTTCTAGTACTGGCACAGGATGACTCCTGGGGATTTCACCTTACACTTTTTTTTAATCTATGAGACTATAGATTCCACTTCTTTCTTTTAAAATTAAAAATAAAAGGTTTAGGTCTTTGGACATGTAACCTCTGGATACTTATCCCCTCCAAATGGTCAGCCAGCAGAATGCTCAAAGAGTGTCAATCAGCATTGGCTGATGTGGAGGGCTAGGTAGTCAAGGAGGGCTGGAGGGTCATTAAGGTCTGCACATTCTGGTGATCTTCATCTACTCCAGATATGAACAAGTCTCCACTGTATTCTAGAGCTTTTTGATCCCACACATATTTATAGGCACATGCATACATGCAGCACACACATATATGCACAGACACAAGCAGCTATCTCTAACCTGTCTGTACCCTCCAGAATCACTCTGGGCATTCAGAATCAGTCAGTTCCCAAGTCTGTGCCTCATGTAACCATAATTTCTTGAACATCTTTAAAACTGAACTATTTCTTTGTTCTCCAGTGCCTGGTGGGGACACTTTATAAATGTGCTTAGATCACACTGCAAGAACCACAGAGATTGATGGCAATGAAGTGTATGGTTCCTGGTACTGGCAACAATCCAAGTAGGTGGGGGTTCTGGGCCTTTGCCACAACTTGGGTGGGTCAGCCTTCCAGTGACAGAGAGGAGCACAGACCAAGAGTCTTAGTAATACTCATACATAGCTGCCCAGGTTACAACAGAATTGGACACATTCAATATTTAAAACACAGCCTTTTAACTTAGGTGATGATGGTTGATGGAGAGGCAGCTTCCAGAGATGGGGAGGAAAGTCACCAGCAATAGGGACCTCGGCTACCGCCTGGACCCATGAGCAGGGATTTAAGCTCACTAAGCTTCCGCTGTTCCTGCTTGAAATATGCACAAAGTGATGTTTTGAGTTTTGAGCTCTTCCCAGACATGAACTCTTTTTCTTATACACTGGAGAGATGGAGAGAGTGGTAGGCAGCATTCTTTCATACTTAACTCTCTTTCCATCACTTGTGAAACGTGTATTCACACTGCCCTCCACACTTTAGTAATAAATCATGCAGGGGCAGAAGGAGATTCCTACTGACTATTCTCTTCACTAGCTGCAGAGCCTTTTTTCAATTCTCAGGGCTGAACAACTGAACAGCACCAAGACATCCTGAGCATGGGTTTGGAGTCCTGCCACTTTGTGCTAGTGGCCATCAATCCCAAGATCCTTGTAACAACTGGCTGTATAACCTTGTCCCCCTTCTTTATGTGCAAACCTGAAGTGAATTAAAGTCAGTGAGCTATATGGCCAGGGTCCTGAAAGCCACTTACTTTTATATTCCACAGCCTTGGAGGTAGCAATGGAGGTGCACTTTGATGATGGTCTCCCTCTGCTTGCTAGGACTAGAAGTCACAGTTTAAGATTTCAACATGAATAGGAATATTTTCTACCTCAGGTACAAACAGCCTTTGACCCACCCTTCAATACATCAGAGAATTTGCTTTGCCTTTAAATTGCCTTTAATTTATTGTACTATTGCAAGCCAGATGTTCAGCTATCCCAGATAGCAGAGAAAATGGCATTTGAACTTGAGATGAATTTCATCAGAGCTCTTGCCCAGTTAGTTGGCACTCTATCTTTGAACAAAGAGGGATAGCATTTCACTCTCATCTTGAAATTTCTGGATGCACATCCATTAAAAAATATCATACCTGGCATTCCTCAGGTCCCAAAGGCTGATACAAAGAAAAAAAAATGTGGCATATTTTTGCTATGTTGCCTCAGAAACCTAATGTGAATCCTAGCAAATTTCAGCACTGAAACTCTTCTCTGATGAGTTATAGGTTATGAATCACCCCCATTTTTCACTTTATCATTCCTAAGGATGTGACAGCATAGTTTCATATTTCTTAAGCTCAAATGTCAGAATCTTAAGGCAGTGTTGGCTGTGACACCTCTGTATGGTAGTCAAGATTACACCTTGAATCTGAAAACTTTGCTCTATGTGCAGATCGGGGTGCCCTTGGACAGTGAGCCAAGTACTTCTCTCAGGCAAGGCAATCAACTTCAAGATAACACAATGAATCTACAGAGGCAGGAGCCCAGACATTATGGAGTGTGGAGATTAGTGTAAAAGGTAGGCATTCATCAAATGACCACAGAAGTGAAGGTACAATTCCATTCTTAGCTGAAGTAAAACATATACAGGAAAGGAATCTGGCTTTTGTGAAATGATATAATAAAGACTTCCCTGGTATCAGAGCAGGTATCCCTGGAGAAGGTCGCTGGAAACACCCTCCTTCAAAGAACATGTGGGAATTAACAAGGAGAGGAAGGATGTGCAGTGCAAGATTCTAAGCAGAGGGAGCAGCATATGCAAAGGACCTGCAGTGGGAACTATTAAAATGTCTTCATGTAACTGAAACAGACTCAACAGTAGCTGGCGATGCTGGTTCATCTGGAGGTGCTGGCAAATACAAAGGGGGAAAAGTCTGTCCAGCAGCATCTTAAGGATTTAGTACTTTGTCCCAAGATCCAAGGAACAGCAGTGACAAACTAGTGAGAGGGCTGGGGATATAGTTCAGTTGGTAGAGTGCTTGCCTCATATGCACAAGGATCTCAGTTCAATTCCAGCACCACACACATTAAAAAAAAAAAAAAACCCTCAAGTGAGAGATTTGGGTCTATGTGGCAAGAGAAGTCCCTCATGGGGTCTCGTATCCTTGCACAATTGGGGCACAGGTGTCTCCACTTTTCCGGAAGGGATTAGCAGGATGATGTCAGTTTTTAAAAACTTCATTAACTTTGAATCCACTGAAAATCAGAGTTCCCAGCCGAATGGGATTGACTTAATGTCTAACAGCAGAAGGCTGCCCCAGGTCATTGCTGTCACAGAATGGACATGCACCAGAGAAGGTGAGAGAATAGACCAGGGACAAGTCCCAGCTCTCCCACTTGGCAGCTTTGCATGACTCCTGGAAAGCATCATGGCCCTCTGGAGAGGGCAGAACAATAATATTCAACAGTGGTGCTCAATGACACCCAAAGGGCCTTCTGCCTGGCTTAGAGGAGCAAAGCTCACCAAATCACAGATGAAGAGGAACCTGGAGTGTTACCGAGATTTTGTGTGTGTGTGTGTGTGTGTGTGTGAGAGAGAGAGAGAGAGAGAGAGAGAGAGAGAGAGTGTGATCATTTAAATTAGTCTTTCTATAGCCATTCTGAACAGACTGTGATTCCTTTTAAATCTATTTTTTTTCAAATC